GGTGCAGAGCACTATCAAGTGAAGCGCGCAAAGGAGCAGCTTTGGCGGGACCCAGCGCCCCGCAGCCAGCGGCGATGCAGGCGGGCGAAGCCAGGCGGCGGTCCCTGCACCCCCGGCGCGCGCGACCCCGCTCACCCCTCGCCCGCCGCGGCCGCGCCGCGCTGCTCCTCCAGGCACCCCCTGAGCGCCGCGACCACGCCGTCCCCCGGCAGCCGCAGGCCCTCCAGCCGCGCGCCGCGCAGCCCCGACACGAACGCGGGCACCGACAGCAGCGCCTGCAGCACCGCGTTGAGGTAGCACGTGTTGCCGTGGTTGACCATGCCCGCCGGCAGGCGCACCTGCAGCGCGGGCGCCGCGCCGCCGCCGCCGCCGCCTGCGCCCAGGTAATCGGTAATCGCCGCCTGCCGCACGCCGCCGCCGCCGCCGGGGCCAGCGGGTGCGGCGCCCAGGCGCGCGAAGGTCTTGCCGGCCGTCGACGTAAACCCGCCGCCGGCCACCGTCAGGCCGCCCAGGCGCGCGGCGTGCGGGGGCGCCGCCGGCCGGGGCGCGCCGGGCGGCCTGAGCCCGCCGCCGCCGCCGCCAAAGCCGTTCAGGGAGCGGAGGAAGTCGTTGCCCGCGCTACTGCCCTTGAAGGGCGTGTCCTGGTCGCGCAAGCCGCCGCCGCCGCCATGCTCTGCGCCGCTGTACCCAAACGGCTGCGCCGGCGAGCGCTTGCTGGGGCGGTCCTGGTCAAAATCCCCCTCGTCAGCGCCGGCGTCGCCGGCGGCGCCGCGCTTGCCCGCGGCCGGTGCACTGCCAGCGCGAGGGGCCGGGGAGGGGCCGCCGATGGGGCGCGGGCGAGCGCTAGGAGCGTCGCGGCCGGCACTGTTGTCGAGCTGCGAGGGGCGGTATGAGCCTGCAAAGGGGGTGTGCAAGCCATAGGACTGAGCACGCTGTAGCATTTGCGTGTCTGCGTCCTAATGCATGTGCAGGCTGATTCGTTCTGCAGGCAGCTCCAGCGCGGCCGGCTTGACATGACCCTCCTTGAATGAGGACCCACCGCCGACGGGCGCCGCCGGCGTCCGCTGCTTGTCCTTGTTGGCCGCAGCCGCTAGGAGGCGGGAGCCTTGAGCTGGAGGCGAAGGTGGTGAGTTGAAGGAGCCGTTGCGGATGCATGCCACGCAGCGCGGGCACATCAACAATCGCACCCAGCGCGGGGCGCCGCTTCACGGCGAAAGCAGGGCAGTGGGCCGGCATGCCGCCGATACGACCAGGATGCTCACTCAGGGGTCTCATGGCATAGTCCTCGGAACCTGGAGCGCGGCCTATGCACCCAAGGGGGCCACCATCAGCCTCCCGCGTACTCCAGATCCCTATGGCTCGGCAGCCTGTGCCTAAAGGTCTGATATGTGCCAATAATGTGATGGCGGTCGTCAAAATATACCGCAGCGATCCTGGTACATGGGCGTGCTTTGAACAGCGTGCTGAGGTGCAACTCGAACTGGGGTGATGGTCGACGCGTGTATATTATGACACATACATCGTATACTTACATCTTGCAAATACGTTGATGAATGGAGAGCATGCTTATCTGTATCGCCAGGCAGTCTCTAGTGTCCCCTAGCCAAGCGGTGTGTTCGGTGGATCGAGACGCTCTAAGCCATGGGAGCGATGCAAGATGATCTCAGAAGATAGATACAGTCGCCGTTGCAAGGGCTGCCGATTACACGCAGCGGCCGCCGCTTGCATCGCCGACGCGCCGAGGAATGCTGAATTGTCAGCGTGCTCGCGGACGCGTTCCGGCATGAGCTCAGGCTTTCAACAAGAGCGAGACTTCACATAAAGAGAACGTCATGGACGGTAGCAAGCAGCAGCCGGAAGCGTCTGCGCTGCCGGCGTCCGCTGTGAGGGCGGCTGGCAGCGCAAGCGACCAGGGCGGCCACGGCATCCTGCTGTACTACAAATACGTAATCCTGGCCGGCCGCGAGGCCGAGTTGGCCGCTTGGTACGAGGCCCAGTGCAGTGGCCTGGGCCAGAAGGGGCGCATCCGCGTCGCCGCGGACGGAGTCAACGTCACGGTGCGCCGGACGGTGGGGGGTGGGGCAGCTTCAGGGGGTGGTGGTTTTCGTTTGTTTCCGTGCAGTTACTCAGCGATGCGCGTGCTAGAGAGCGGCGTCTACATCGCCGTTGCCACGGCATGCCGCCGGCGTCCAATGTGTGTGTGTGGGGGGGGGGGGAGATTGCCGGGCGTTGTTCAAGGCGTGCTGACCGGGAAGGTGGCGGCGGTGTGCAGCGCTCAGCCAGGGCATGCGCCCTCCTTGGTGGGCGCGGCGCGCCCGCACGCGGCGCCGGCGCAGGCGATCGCTCCGCGGCGCGGGGCGCAGGGCGCTGTCATGGCCGGTCTGCGAGTTGCTGAGCGGGTCGGGCCGCCGCCTCTGCTGCCCGATCCTGGCAGGTGGGGGGCGCGATGGCGGGCCTAGGCGCCCACATGGAGGCGGTCCGAGGGCACCCCATCATCCAAGGCGCGGACATCGACTTCAAGGTGCGCGCACACAGCAAAGGCGACGCGCCCCAGCCACCTCGGCCACTGATCCCAACGTTCGCGCGGCGGCCGCTGCCGGCAGCGCGCGCTGCTTGGCCGAGCAGCCGCTGCCTAGGCCTGAGCAGCCGCAGCCCTGTATGAAAACTACGCCAGCTGCCGCCCTGTGCGGTGTGCCGACTCCATTGCACCCGCTGTTATCAGTGTTGACGTGCTTCGCCCCATCCCCCACACCCCACCCCCCCC